CCCCCCCCAAATGGGCTTTTCTGTCAGCTCTGCAGTCCTAAAGTTGTAATTTTTGTGGGCAGAGAGAGTTTAGGGTTCGCGTCCTCCGCTAAGGAAGGTAATCGTCTCCTCCGTTCCAGTTGCTTGTTGATTTGCTGCTTCATCCTTAGCCATGTGCCGAAACCTGGTGTGTGCCCTGGGAAGGGTATTGTTTCTATACATTGAGCTATACGTAGGTCATTTCTCTTGTAGTAGCAGGGAAGTTTACCATGCTGGACTTGGTTCTCCACCTTCCTTATCTATAGGCAACAGAAGTGCGCAAGTTAACACTTTATACGCTAATGTGGTCAGGCTTTTGGTCTCTTTTGTCTCTAATTTTCTGCACATGTAAACCACGGGAGAATGTTGTGTTAATCACGATATTTGGGAGCTGATCCAGGGTTTAGGAAGGTGCTGCCCAAAGGATTTGTTTGAAGTAAGTAATCCAGTGTTAACACCTACAGTGCTGGCTTGTCTCCAACCTAGAATCCTAAATTCTGCCAAGTGATCTTCACACTGGTCCCTTTTTTCTTTCACCTTTTCTTTGACTGAAATTTTCTATTAGTGTTTGCCCTGCAAGCTCTGGGGGGACGGTGAAATTCAGCATGTTTTAACACATGCCGTAGTAGAAATTAAGCCAGTCAAGCTTCCCAGTGCACTTCTCTTCCTGTGGTGCTTGCATCCTCGTGATGCTTTCAGTGGCTTTAATCCTCTTGTCATTCTTGTTTCTACAAGGGTCAGTCTGTCTACAGCTGAGCCACTTCTGTTACTACTGCTGACGTTTTATTCTTTCAGGGTGTTTGTTTTGAGTGGGTGGCAAAACTTAATCACTGTTTTAGGTTTGAGTTTTGGATGGAAGTTTAGGAAATCGTAGCTTGCATGGCTGTTGAACCTACGCTTTCTGAAGATTGGACCCTTCAATATGATTCTGATTAGTATCCAAAAAAATACTTGTGATTAGTTTAAAAAAAATCAACAAAACTTACAGTACTTCATGCTTCAAGATTTATTTGGAGCTACTGATTAGGAAACTTGTAGGGCTATCAAATTTCTTGGTAGAGTGAGTGTTAAGTATGTTTTTGTGGAGAACAGAGAATAAGAAGTATAACCCAGAAACCCTTCTTCTTCCTAAACGCCTTCCTATTTCACCTGTGCTAGATAAATTAAAGCTTGGAAGAATTTGAATAGTCAAAGCCTAAATGAATTTTGTTAGAATCCTCTCCTAAAACTACTGACTGGCAGAGGGGACCTGGTTTACAGACAGCCTCTGACATCTGTTAGTGTCTGTTGCCATGTTTTGTTTACATTAGTAGCCAAGAATTACGTCGATGCCTTAAAACGCTGGTAGTGCAGTAGTTGTCACGGTGTGACTTCTGGACCTGTAAAGGAGTGTGTCTACAAAAGCATTTTGATTTTTCTGTCCTTAACAGCTGATCTGATAAAAGATATGACTTCTGTATTTCACCTAAAATGCATGTGGCTGTCTAAAACTTACATGCACTTGATGTTCTCTCAGACCCCCGTTTTCAGGTTCAGAGCTTCAAGTTTTACAGTGTGCGAGATCCAGTGAAGTAAATTGATACTGTAGCTGAAAATTGTTTATATCCAGGAAGGCATTGAAGAAACTGGATGCAGGATAGTTGAGAGCGCTATGCTGAGTTAGTAGGCTAGAGAGACTTAATACAGCTGTAGAAAAAAGTACTCTGATTTTAAGAGTGTATTTTTAAACGGGGAGAAAACAGGAAGATTATCCCTTAAATAAAGCTCTTCGTGAAGTGAGAAATTTACCTGTTAGTTTTTGAGCTTGGGTATTTTCCTTTGTGGGAATTACGTGAATCTTTTTCCTCCTGCAGACCCCTTTGCTGATGCAACAAAGGGTGACGACTTACTCCCAGCGGGGACTGAGGATTACATTCATATAAGGATCCAGCAACGAAACGGAAGAAAGACACTCACAACTGTTCAGGGAATTGCAGATGATTATGACAAGAAGAAACTTGTGAAAGCTTTCAAAAAGGTGAAGTTACTGCTTTGATTTAATAACAAAGATATTATATAAGGGAGTATGATACCTTTTAATGCTAAGCAACTGAATATTTGTTTTATTTCATTCTTGCTGGTGCACATCACTTTCATGTTTAGGTTGATCCCTTTCCCTGTCTTTCTCAAAACTCCTGTCAGTGTCCAGTTACACTGATTTTCACTTAGAAGTTAAATATTTCTTTCCTATAAAGAAGTAAATAAAATAAGTTCTGAATGTTTCATTAAAATTTCACAGATGTCTGGCTTTGTTGATGTGAAGAATAGAATCAGTTTAAAGTAGAACTGTTTTTGCATTCCAGCTTCTGTCATAGCTGGATTGCTGTTGAAATAGAGATCATGAGTTTCACCAGGACGAAAATATTTATTTTAAAATAGCGTGGAGCTGAAAGGCTGTATCTTATGACTTTGGTTTCCATTCTTGCAGTGAGTGTTGGCCAGTTCCTCCTGCACAGTATCTAATCCTGTCTTTGCCTGAATTTACCATCAGTAAACAGTTTGTGTCTGTACCCATCAGCAGATATATTCCGTTTGCTCTCAAAACCTCTGTAAAATAGAACTAGCCTTTGCCTTCCTTGGCATCAGAATTTAATATGCAGCTTCTGTGACAAAATTCTGCTGAAAAGACTTACTAAGCAAAACCATAATGTACATCAGATGCCTTACGATATGAATGTTTCTCTCTAGAAATTTGCTTGTAATGGTACTGTGATTGAACATCCTGAATACGGTGAAGTTATCCAGCTTCAAGGTGACCAGAGGAAGAACATTTGCCAATTCCTCTTGGAGGTGAGGGACTGCAGATAAATATCTAAACCTCTCTGGAAGCTGTAGAGTGACAGGTGGCACTGATGTTAATTAACCAGCTAAAGATGTCCACTATAGTTCCTTTGTATTTTCAGCCAAAAAGTAAAATGACACTTGCAGAACACGAGTAAGAATCAAAGCACTGTAGAATGCATTTACCCTGCAACAACATACTGCTTGTTCTCTGGCAGTGCAACTTGAGTTCTTCATTTGTAAAATCAAGTGTTTGAGACTGAAAACACTATAGAGGAAAGAGTCTTTCACCACTAGATTAGTGATGCAAATCATGATGTAGAGATGCTACACTGTCAAAGAAAAAGTGCTAGGAGGACTACAGAACAAGACAGATGTCTGATAAGATTTTCTTTTTTTGTGTAGTCAATTCTTCTCTTGGCCCAGAAACATTCTGGAAACTAGAAAACTGCTTTACTGAGTATATACTATGTGGCAGTTTCTTTAATCGGAGTATAAGATTGTGGTAAATTGATTTAACTGTAATATCCTAAGCATGTAAGCTTTACTGAAATGTGTTGCTTTTCTCCTTTAGATTGGCATTGTCAAGGAAGAACAACTGAAGGTTCATGGTTTCTAAAATACCTGTACTCTCATGAAGAACCCTGCAGTATTTGGTCTTACCGAGCCTGGCTCTTCCGTCAAAAATGAATCTTTGTAGTGAATGGACTTCCCTGTTACCTGAACACTTAAAATTTGATTCAGATTTGCATGACTGCGTGAAACATGTGGTGTGTAGGCTAGAAACACATAAGAAAACTTCAGTAAGGTGGTAATGATGACACTTGTGAACCTTAACACATTTCCAATGGAAATGTTTTAGCGATGATTGTTCAGTTTACTACTCTCCACCTGACTTAAATTTGTGGGTTGTATTAAAATAGTGTGTGTCGTTGCTTAGAAATAAAAGTTTATTCATATATTTTCTGGGATATCTGAAATGCTTTAGCTTAAGTTTTAAACTAGCACAGCAGCCTTACTAAAGAATGGCTAAAATGTTTTGTGGCAAGTGTAGCTCACTGCTCATTGAATAAATTGGAAAATCTACGTGATGAAGTATTAGCTAATTAATCAGTACATTAGCTTGATGTGATCTTATCCTGTAGCTGTAAGACTAGAGCTTTAAAGTCTCTTGTGTAGGTGTATCTTAGTAGCAGCATGATAAGACATAAATTGTTTTCTGAGTAAGTAACTGGATATTCTCTAAAATTTACTGCAGTGACTATGAAATATTAGTGTTAAGCATAGTAGGCTAAAATAAGCTGAACTCCTTAGGGCTGCTATTGCTGAGAACATGTTAAACATCTACGTCCTGCATAGTACTCCCAAAATATTTGAAGGAAGTGCATGGGATTTTGTATCTCTTGTCACTGAGTGAACAGGAAAGACATTGAGTTGGCTTCTGCCATGACTGTGCATTTAATGTTGGCAAGGAGAGTGCTTTAATTAGCTGCTAGTGTTAGCTACGGAAGTAAGGAAGGGAACAGGCTCTACGCTAACCTTTCTTTTTTTTTTTTCCTGGTGTGAGAAGTTTTGCTATCACTCACGATTAATATGGAGAGTTTTGTAATGGGGTTTGGGTGTTACTGTAGAAAGCTGATTTAGTCTACTTTTCTAGCAGGCAATTCATTCACTGTGACCTAAAGTTATAGTAGGTTTGTTCCACCATGCTTTTCATCTAGTTTTAGTTATCTGTACGCATTTGGTATTTTGCTTTTAAGAGATGTCTCTTTATAGAATGAAATGTTTGGTGAAACATGCAAATCTTATCTTCCTTATGAGATAGGCATGGAAATTTTCTGTGAAACAATTCAAAACATGCTGAGCTGGGAAAGCATAAGAATAGTGGGAAAAGTTTGAAAAAGAAAAACCAAACAAACAAACCCCTCTTGTAATATCATGTATTCTCTGGAAAGGAAGAAAGAGACATTCCTTTACTGCTAAGACTTATTAATAACTTATTCAGAAAAAAAAAGAACTGATAACTACCTATGTAAACATCAAGAATAGGCAAGACTGTATTACTTAATATCACCTGTGCCTATACTGTGTTTCCTGTTCAGACTTGCCTTTCTAAACAGAAATGCTCAATTTTAATTCACTTGAACCTTTTTTTTTTTTTTTTTTTTAAGATTTCTGAATTCAGATGTAAACCTTTATGGCACTAACAACAATTAGGGGAGCGTTATAGAGCACTCATATGACGGTTTCTTTCTCTGTCTGATCTAGACAATTCTACCCGTAAGAGTCCAGTGTCCAGTCTCTCAATCTCCACAAATTCTGCCTGGTGTTACAGAACTTAATTGTTCCAGAAAAAGGATGTTCCAGAAGATTGAATACTGTTAAGGTATAATATGTTCAGGAGGAGGGAAAGCCTACTGCAAAACGTGAAATACCAGCATGCAGAAGGAAAATCCAAAGAATAAGTCTTATGCAAGTCTTGCATATTAGCAGAATAAAATGATTGTACTGCAAGTTTACCTAGTCTTGATTCATAGATGCTAAAATAATTAATCCTTTGGGGGTCATGATTTTAATTTTATCAAATGCCAGAAAAACTAATGTTCTCATTTAAAGCTTGGTCTCCTGCCCAAGAGGAAAAACAAGCAGTATCTTCTCCTATTTCACTAGTATTACATGAGTACTTTTAGTGGGTTTTTGAATTGGAGATTAACAAATGATGAGCAAGTCTCATGTGTTACTGAGTCAGTCTTCATTTCAGATGGCATTCCATTAACTTCTACCTAAGCTTGAGTCATTTCTCCGTTGTCATTCTGCTTGAAATAAATAAGAAAAAACTGTGTTTTCTTCCTCCTCATTTAAAAGTCCTTTCTGATGGGAAGAACCTTGCAGTTGATGGGTGGCTTGGGTTTTATGCTCTAGTGGAGCTGCTTGTGTTTTGACCTTTGAAGGGCAAAATTAAAAGGAGAGGATATAAGTAGTAATATATTTGAAGCTCAGATAGATGAGAATTGTTGTGGCCACAAACAATCTTTCTAGAAGGAAAGCAGATTTTTATTTTTTTTTGTTCTGGAAGTATTTTAAATTAGGACAGTGTCTCAATAAGACTGTAAACTCTGTGTGTGTTCTAGAGGAAAGGCTTCAACAGTTTCATGTTTTATCATCCTAGCCTGAAATTTCTTTGTTAAAGCTCAGCCTGTTTGGAATACACATGCATGTTCCAAGAATGCTGAAAAACATGAAGGACTTTGGGAAAGAACTGTTTAAATGACTTCCATGAAAACATGTTTGCACAGTGAAGACAGGATTCAGTCTTTCTGTCTATTCCAAAATAGGTTAAAAAATGGTAAAGGATGTGGCCCATAATTGTCAAGGCAGTAAAAGGGAGCTAATAATGGAAAACACGCTTAAACCACACTAGTAGGATTTGAGACTGGGCAAGCTCAGACTGCAAAGAGTTGTGGCTTCTCTTTCTTGGAATATTGTGAAGTCTGTCTTTCAGGTCTCCAAATCAAGACTGCCTTCTCGGTGATACCTAGTCTTAACCACAAGCTGCAATTGGTTGTAGGAACTGCCGTTTCAAATTCACATCCTTGCTGTCTATAGTTGTATTAGGCTGTTGTAGCCAATTCTTTTAGCTGATACACTGGAGTAAGGTGTATTCAATGGATAAATTCATTGAATTGTCTGTTCAGAGTGTACGTCTGCTTAATGCAGCTATGAACAGTGAAGCCATCTCTTCCCAAATGGCAGTAGCAGTCCTTATTTGCAGAAGATGAGGTTTAGGAATTTAAGTCTGTAGGCTGCCTACTTCCTCTTGTTGTGTGAATTATCAGACCCTTGACCTTCACCTGTGGTCTCCTAAATCTGACCATGTGTTTGAGATGAGCACAAAGAGCACAACTGTGGGCAGATGAGCAATAATTTTCTCAAGTGAAAGAACCTTTGAAAAGAATAGTTTTTAGATTGTGTGCGCATACTATTCATTGGTTCAATGGCTCACCTTAAACCTTACTTCCTGCCCTACAGTCTTGCACAGACTACATAAAAAGCATTTTGTCCTGGAGAACTTTTTTGGGGAGAGGGGGAATCCAACAAAAAAAAAAAAACCAAAAAACCACCTTAGGAAGTAAGTTTATATCTTGTCTGTTTTCATTAACTTAGATTCACCTGGACTGCAAGACCTCTAACAACATTGTTATTTCTGTATCTTTGAAAATCGTAATTAAAATTCCTTGAGACCTTGGCATTTAAGGTTCTAAATATATCTAAAGCTGTTATAAAACTAAAAAATGTGAAAAGTTGTTGAAGTTTAATTTTTAAATATTTGGAAAAATAATGATTAAGCCGAGGTCTTCATTTTGCCTTATTCTGCCGTCCTGCTTATAATCAGTATGCAGTTGCCCTAAAGATGCACGTGCATTTACAGAGCTGTCAGTAAGCAGATACCCGTGCTGTAGTGCGGTACCCTATTTGTAGTTTTTGTGAGATCTTATCTAATGTGCTACACTGTTAGAGGCTGTACTACTCTAATTTAACAGTATGGGACAGATGTACCTTGAGTTCCAGTCAATTATCTTTTCCTTAATCCTTCTGGAAGGCTCAGGTGCACAGGATCCGTGTGTTACACCCTTGTTTAAAGTCGCTCAGGAGTTCCTCGTACTCTGTGAAGTATGTCCAAGATTGGTATTTAGCCAGGTAAAGAATGGGGGAGGCCTTTTTATAGATTACTCAGGGACACGGTAGGGCCTACTGTCACTTTCGGTGTGTTCAGTGTCGGTTAGTGTCACTGAGTGGTCCTCTAATGTGCTACTGCCGCTAGGGAGATGGAACTGGTCTCAGAGGGTCATGTGTATTTAAGAATCTGCCTTCCTCCTACAGCTCTCTGTACATCCATACTCAGTTTAGTTAGGAACGTGTCCCCCGTCTGCGGCAAGATGAAGGTTACTTTCCAGTTGCAAGATCAAAAGCTTGTGAGATGAATAAGGGAAAAATGACATAGTTGTTCTATGTTTGCTGTACAGATGCTTCATACCTACTGTTTCCAGTTTACATTAAAAAAAAAAAAAGTGTCAAAAGAAGATTTGTTCTTGGCATGCCTTTTTAATGTTTGCTACATGCCTGTGATTGATCTCTTTATGAACAAGTCTTAACCTGTATTGGAGTATTGCTAGAGAGTCGAGACAACAAAGTCTTTTGAAATAAAATGTACCAATGTTACGTCTGCTTTTCTAAAACAAATTGAATCTTATGCTATTATTAAGGAGGATTAGTTTTTTTTGGTGGAAGATAGAAGTAGTGTAATTTAATAGTGATGTATTTGCTCCTGCTGTAATCAGCTTTGATTTCTTCAAGAAATGTTATATTTCCTCTTTTAAATTTCTACCATAATCTGTACTAACCAACTTAAAAATATTGTGACTTGTACTGGGATATCATAGCTCTGAAACAAGATGATGGTACTGGCTTGAGGTCTAAAGTTTTGGGTAGAATCTCATGAATAAGCAAAATGCACAGCGTTTTAAGATGAAGCCAGTGATGTGTACTCAAGTTCTAGTCTCAGCTATTTTAGAATGTCTTGCATCTGTGAAATGTGACAGCACATTTCTGAAATTAATTTGGGGTCTGATTTAAAGCACTTGTGTGTATAATAAATGCTTTTTTCCATTTTAAGCCATCTTTGCTATGATTATACAGCAGAATATCATGATCCAGACTTAGTTCTCCAAGTTATGAGTAGCTGAATTCTGCAGACGGGGTTGCAAGTAGACTGGTCATGCTCCTCAAAGACAGGGTTTAGCTGTCAGCTGTGTTTGCGGTCCCTCTCACAGTTGGAGCGGGAAACAGCACTGTTCCTACGGTACAGACGGACACGCCTTGGGTATCATGATGGGACAGCTAACTCCATGAAAGGGCTCGCGCTACAGTTGTTTTTGTAGCGTGTCCCCCCAAATGAACTA